CTGAGAGAGAAAGAGAGTGAGACAATAAAAGATAGACTGGCGATGTCAGAGGAAAGGAAGGAAATCAGACACCTGCCTTGTGGTATTTATAAAAAAAGATGAGATTAAGCAATTGAGGATTAAAACTCCTGAAGTGCATTGCTTTTACTAAAAACTACATTGCATGTAATGGCAAAATAAAGGATAATAATGTGTCTGTCCATTTTTGTCTTGAACTTTCCTTTTCCTAAGCACATTTGTAAGTAATCTAGATAATGACTTTCCCAAGTTCAGACTCTGTGCAGAGACATGCGCCTTTGTCAAATATTCATTAGCTAATTAGATCTTTTTCTTCAAGTAAATTGCTCTAAGAGATGACAGCAGGCTCTTTGAATGTGACCCCAAGAGAAAAAGAGTCTGACTTGCTGATCATCAAGCTTACAGAGGGGAGGAGACCCAGTTCCCAGTTTGGTCTTCCCCAGGGGGAGAGGATTGTAACCCGCTGCTTGGGCTCAGCTCCAGGAAGTGCCCAGTGATTGAAAAGGGAAAGATCAGACTCCCTTCCAATATCTTAGAAGTAGCCAGAAAGACTCCTCAGGAGGCCATGCCAGGACCCCAGAAGAAAGACCCCTATTAAATTCAAGATGGTACCCTCCTCACACCTGCTGTTTGCCCTGCCTTCAAATCGCGCGCTCTTGTAGAAGGGAAAGGCAATCAATGCATACCAAGCAGCACTGTATGAATTTTTCTTTTTCCCATATTTTGAGTGTGGGTGACAGCAGGCCTTTATGTAATTCCACAATCTCAGTGGGGAGCTGATCCCTATCAGTGGGTTCAACTCTATTTGCAGCGACTCCAGTGGCAGGGAGAGTTTTTGTTCTGACAATCAGAATTCCAGCAAATGGTAAAATGTATCTTCATGCTGAGAAGTGGGAAATTCAATAATACTTTGACTTGGTTCATGCTGAGCAGTGAAAATAGAATGACTACAGAGAGGCACGGTGACGCGAAAAGCAGTAAATCAACTAGCCCAGACATTTGCAACAATCAGCTTCTACTCTGAAACCCTGTCCTGGCTCTACCCCATTCTCCAGACTGTCAGGACTGTTTTTATATCTGTTCCTAGAGTGTTTTGCACCCCGATTCCTTGTTTACCCTAAGAAACAGAATTAAGCACTCTGAGATCTTAAAAAACAAATCTTTTCTTCTGCGTATGTATTATGTCACTGCAGGGCCATTTGCTGAAAAAGTTTTACAGCGTGTTAGGTTAACTCAAAAGACAAAGTGATATGGGTATATTCTGGAGCTTGTGGTAACAGCATTGTTTATTATACTTGAAGATGGTTTTCTTTTATAGGCAACAGACAATTTCAGAGGGTGTTACTAGAATGGAAACCTCAGGACGGCAGGGATTTCTGTTTGACTTGTTCACTACTATATCAATAGGACACACTAGTTGCCCAAAGAAGTCAAAGAATGAGTACTCATCGGTAGGTTGTGAAATGTCTCTACTGAGCTAGGACCTTTCTGAGCTGTCTAGTACTTAAGCCCATAATAAACTCAGTTTTACTGACTTTCTATTCTTTATGAGTTTGTAAGCTAGCGCTGATAAGTGATTCTATAGAAGGATTTTTTAGTAGTATGTTTCTTTTACAAAAGTTATATCGCTGAAACCTGATCACAGAAAAATTAGAATGTATAAATAACCAAAATGAAATAAAATAGCCACGTTTGTGTTCCTCAGAGATAAACACTGCTATGTTTAAGTGTTTTCCCTATTCATATATTTTTCAAGTATTTGATTATGTCAGTTATGTTTTTATTTCATTTAACAGTATTACTTAAACTGCTATTTTTATTAATGGGTATATTTATCATTTCCCACAGTGTCACAGTAGTGTCTTAAGAACGTATAAGAATTTAACCAATTTCCTGTCATTGTTTATTTGCTTCTAATTTTTGCTTGATCATAAACACCATGCATTTTCCTGTTATTGGAAGAGATTTGCAAAGCTGGGTTTTTATAAGGGTAACTAACCTCAATGACTTAATAGATCTGTGTACCCTGCCCCCATCTTTGTCCACAAGCTGACTATTGTGTGTCACTTGCCTTTGTGGTCCCTTTAAGTGAAAACAGAGTATGGGTTGAGGCAGTATCTTAGCATCTACTCCTGTCCTCACAGTTTACCTAATTATTATATTCCCCTCTATTTGTGATTATCATTTAACTGTTTTTAGTTTAGTTCACTTTTACATTGTCTCATCAACTAAACACTGTTTCAGCAGGACCATGTGTGGTGTGAACAGAGAGCAATAGAGGCAGGAAGAACCAATTAGTACTTTACCTTCTTCTAATTATAGATGTACAGCTTAGCTGATGCCCTTTCATCATTACCTAAAATCCATAGCTTATTTGGATTTCCTTAGTTGTTACCCAGGGTCTTTTTCCTGTCCAGGATCCTGCCCAGGAGACTCCATCACATTTAGTCATCCTGTCTGCTTAAGCTCCTCAACTGTCAGGTCCTCAGACATCCCTTGTGTTTGGTGACCTTAATAACTTTGAGAAATACTGATCAGCTATTTTGTCAAATGTCCCTCAATTGGGATTTGTCTGATAGTTTTTCATCATTAGAAGGGGGTTATGTTTCTTGGGGAGAAGCTTTGGGGATAAAGTGCTATTTTTATCATATAATGTACGTTTTCATCACATAATACAAAGACACGGCATTGCTGTGGAAGGAGACCTTGATCTCTGCTGACTAAAGTGGTGTTTATAGTAGATTTCTCCACTGTAAAGCTGTGCTTTTGTTCCCTGAATTCCCCACACTGAAGTCTCCTCCTCCTTAGGTAGGAGCATCTAGATAAATTACTTGTAATTCTTCTGCTTAAGCAATTCATCTGTTCTCTCTCAATTATTTATATTGTTATGGACTTACATATATTAATCTTACACTTTGGGTTATAATTGAATACTGCCATATTTATTCTGTTGCTCAAATAGTTCCAACTTCGACCATTGGGGAATTATTTCATTTGAGGCCTCCTTTGTCTTTCCACAGTGGGTTTTGTTTGTTTGTTTATTTTAGCTCTTTCTTAATTTCAGAGATGCTCCATGTTCATTTTGTTTATTTTGTTTCCTAGTTCTAGGATCAGCTATTTCTACAAGGAGTCCTTTTATTGGAAAATGGTTGGTGAGCACTAGGAATGCTCATTGCTCCTGAGGCTTCTAGGCCTCATCATATGATATGGGTTCTCTCAGCTGACGGAGCAAGGAAATGTGTGTCTGTGTGTATTTCTATGTGTGATCATATGAATCTTTATTTAGTTAAACATGTATTCATACTGATACCTCCAACTCTAATCCATTACCACGTGGACCATTCTTGCCTCCTCTTGTTGCTTCTCTCCTACTCCAACAATGAGAAGCCTGGCTTTCACCATCCACTGCCCACTTACACAGTCGTTTCCAGTACCCATGTTAGAGTGTTGGGATCTTTCGACTGTGTGCCCCTGGGAAACAGCTCCAGCGAGGAGCATGCAATCTTTATGCCCTGTTTCTTTGGCCTTCAGTCTAACAGAATCCACTCAGCCCAGAGTTGCTTGGGTGAGCTTCATTCTGGCCCACTGTCTTTAGTGAGGTTGTCTCTACATTTACAATGCAGTGAGATTATTTTTGTTATGTTCTGCATTCATTCCATGCATCCCCCACCTAAATTATTTTTTTTTTAATTTGTATATGTTAATATCCATTCCTCGTGCTGCAATTCTCTCTGGCTTTCAACAAGTGAATAGAATTATGTGTTGACTGCTGGGTACCATAGTACTTAGTTTTACTGCTCTGAAAATCCCATGTGCTTACCTATTTACCGATCCTCCTCCCTCTGAACTCTTGATCTTGATCTTTTTATCATCTCTATTCTTTAGCCTCGTCAAGAATATCACATGGCATCATAAGTATAAAACTTTTTCAGATTGTTTTTTTCATTTAGCAATATGTATTTAAGATCCATCTGTGTCTTTGTCTGACTTTACCACTGATTTCTTTTTATCTCTGACTAATATTTTGTTGTATGGATGTTCTGCAAATTGTTTATCCTCTTATTATTGAAGGACATCTGGGTTGCTTCCAGTTTGAGATGGTTGTGAATAAACTTCTATAAAAATTCATGTGCAGGTTTTTATGTGGACCTCAGTTTTCAAATCAGGTGGGTAAATACCTAGGAGTTCCATTGCAAGACTATGTGTAACTTCCTAAGATATTTCAAACTGTCTTCCAAGCTACTGCAACATTGTACCTTCCCACCAACAAGAATGAGAGGTCCTGTTGCTCTGTATCCTCACCAGCAGTTAGTATCATCGAGTTTATTTTTGGATTTTATGTCTTCTAATAGGTGTGTCATATATATCATTGCTGTTTTAATTTGTGGTTCCCTGATGCCAAAATTTGTCAAGCACCTGTCTTATGCTCTTTGGCCTTATGTATACCTTCTTTGGTGAGGAGTTTGTTCAGATCTTTTGCTTGTCTTTAAACAGGGTTGTTTTCTTTTATTGAATTCAAGGGCCCTTTTTATATTTTAGCAATAATGCCTTTTTATAAATGTGTTTTTGCAAATAATTTCATAATGTCCTTTTTAGTAACACTTCAGGATTGTGTTCCACTTTGCAGCCTGAAAGCTTGCATATGCCCCTAAATGCTGATTAATGATATGCTCTACTCAACTTGGTTTGCCTTTCTGTTCCCGAAGTGACCCCATTGTCCCTCTCATTTCTTTCATCTCATCCATTCACTGTGAGAGAAGCTTTATATTCTGGGGTCATCACTGTCTGTCTGTCTCTAGGAATTTTTCTATTAAGTGAATGACCAAGGTGCTGATGTGCTTGTTCATCTCTCTGCAGTAAGATTCCCAGTGAGAATCCAACCCTGTTTATTTCCTGGTTTTAAAGCAAACAGACAGATCTAGGGGTGTGCCATGTCGTTGGTGAGGCTAATGGTTGTCTGTCTTCCTTTTCATGGCCTCCAGTCATCAAGCCTCCTCTGCGTCACTTTAAACGCCCTGCTTACGCATCTAGCTCCTATGCACCTTCGATCCCAAAGAAAACTGATGAGCATCCTGCGAGGTACAAGATGCTGGATCAGAGGATCAAAATGAAAAAGATTCAGAACATCTCACATAACTGGAACAGAAAATAGGTCCGGGGCAATAGTGGGAGTGATGGCGAGGCCCACCTACCCACCCACCTCTCAGCACTCACCAGCCACTGTGGGCAACGCCCCCAAGACCCTGGAAGCTTTAGGGGCTGGCACTGTCATGGTGACTCCAAGAGGACAAGTGAAGGCCACGTGTGATTTCCCCTTTGTCATGTTACACACTTTTTAGTTGCTGGACTTGTGGTCAACGTAAACTCCAGCAGCAAAATCACTTAGAGGGTAGTCCCATGAGGCTTTTCTTGGTATGAATTTTTTAAAATCTAAATTGGACTAAAATTAGAATAATGCTACCTGTTCAGAAAAAGTAAAAATACCTCCAGTGACAGTTTTTTCATCTTTGGAAGTTGACTTGCCCCAATAAAAATATTGGTCCGGTGATCATCATACTTAAGTATTTAAGAAATAAACTTCAAAAACGTCTTTTCCAATTTTAAATCTAGTAGTTAAAATTCAAGTAAATGTGTAACTTTTGAAGTAAGCCCATTCAAAACAATAGTTGTCCTTATGAATATTGCAGTCGTAGAGGGAAGAGACAGATGAATTGTTGTGTTCATAGAGATTTCCAAACACAAGCTTCATGAAGGAGATCCAAATTCAAAGCAAAGTCCTGGGTTTTGGTTCTCATTGGGTGCCTCAAGCCCAATACCCTTGTGATACCTTTAAAGTTATGGGTGATTTCAGGAAATGCATTTTGACTTTACTTCTTCTAATCCCTTACTTTCTCTCACATTAGAAAATGCTAAAAATCGAGGGATGCCCATGCCTCAGGTATTCCAGGTTTGAGATTCATGACAAGAGATGTCCATGAACCTAACTGGAATTCCCTATTTGCAGATTTTCCTTCATAAGGTTGGAGATGCCTTTAAGTTAAATTTCAGACCATCTTCCCACATTGCTGAGGTGGGTTGCTCTCCCAACTATTGGGAGAATGTAAGTTGAAAACCCAGCACTCCATGGTGACATTTTCAGCCCTGTGTCTCTTTCCATAAAATATTTACCCTAGTGCACAGATGCCTTTGGGAAGGGTATACTACGGGGACTCAATCTGAGGGAGTGGGGGGAAGCAAATACTGTTTAAAAATAAAATATTTATTTTTACCCTAGGACTAAAAGCACAGGAAAGGTAGAAAAAAGTGCAAGGCCAGTAAAATTCTTGTCCCTTCAGAAATGGTCAGATGCAGTGGAAAAACTTGAGGTTTGTCGTCAGGCCGGTCTGATTTCCCATCCCTGTCCCTACTTTAACTAGATGCAGGTCCTCGGTCAAACAGCATCATCTTTAAAAGCTTCCGTTTGCTTAACTAGAAAGTGGATTCATAATACTCACTCTGCCTATTGTAAGACCGATGAAGGCTAATGTAGGTTCAGATCGTAGCTGCTGAGATTGGCTGGAGAGTGTAGGTGCACCGCAGATGCAGCCAGAAGCATTCTCCATCCAGACAAACTCTCTAAGACTCCCCTGGAAGGTCGATGCCATGGCCTTTGGAGTCTGGTGGTAAAGGGGTTAGTGTCCTCGCCTGCTCTCATTCTCCACATTTCATTTCCAGTAAACCACAGTTACATGAGTTGAGACAGCTCCAGATTTTAGTGCCCATCATGCTAGCGAGCAATTTATTTACAGTGTGCTTTACGATGGTATTTCAGGGAAACGTAATTACTATACAAAAAGAAAAATCACTGTGACTTTTGTTAGGGCAGCATTGTAATTCTTAGCACCCCGCTAGTGCCTGAGCTGTGGCCCTTCTGCAGGCTGGTAGTGACCGCTCCACCTGAGTTAGATTATTTCCTGTCTGTTTTTATACAGACGCCTGTTGTGAGGAGCTAGGTAGGCCCCCAATGAAACCGCCCATGGAGTGGGGCCTCCCTGCTGCCCAGTGACTCAGTCCGTACACGGACTCCCTCACCTATTTCTTAGTTCCTTCACCTCGGTGTGGAACGTGAGGGCCGCTATACTCTCTTGACTGTACATCTTCACTTAGAAGCCACGATCCTGGGGGGGAAACGGCTCCCTCTGTGTTCTTTTATCCCAAGATGTTATTTTTCACCCTTTGCTAATATTTTACTTGAGCAAATGTACAGACATGGAGAGTCTGCACTGCTTGTAAAATGCCAACCATGTTTTTTGCATGTTGGATTGTATAGAAATGCCAGATTATATTCTTACAGCAAATAAAAAGATGCTTTTAAAGGACTTTCTTGTATGTGAGTCATCTTTTTCTTCTCCAGAATTCTGGATTCCTTTGAAAATAGATTTTCCCCATGCTTGGTGCCTGTTAGTCCTGATTATCTTGTAAAGTGAATAGTAGAACTCAGACTCTTCAGTGTGCTTCCTGATGGTAGCGGCAACAGCTTTTTAAACAATTACTTTTTTCTTTTTTTTAAAGATGTATCTATTTAAGCATACAAGAACTAGGGTGTAGGCCAGACGTGTGGGGGTGAGAGGATTCACCAGAGACAGAGTGGGGAGCAGGACAGGAGGATCTACTGAAATACACTGTTGAGGGGATCAGCGGGCCAGATAGGAGAGGTCTGCTGTGCCATGTGGGCTATCTCCCTGGCCGGGGATTGAACTCATGCTGCTGTGGCTGCTGATAGCTTGATAATGCTGAGACTTTAACCCCTGCGCCATCACGGAGGCCCCAGCAACAACTTTAAAAAACAACTCCTCCCTACACATCATATCCAATAAATAAATTTGTGAATATGCATAATCCATAATAGAGCTAGTCCACAGGTAAACTTACCTGTGTTATCAACTCAGTTTGTTTTTCCCCAGGCTAAGCTGTGTAGTTGGTGGTTTAGAACTGGCACTTTGGGGTTAGAAAACCTCCAATTAAATCTCTACTCTGTCTTTTGTTTGCTCTGAGAGCTTTACCAAGTTATGTAACTTTCTGAATGTTAGTTTCCTTGGCTTTAAAATAAAGATAAAAGAACATGACTCAGCATAACACAGACCTAAGCCTATAGCAAGGAGTCAATCGATGTTACCTATTATTTCGTAGAGAAAGAGTGGTGTGCAGTAAAAAAAAGAATTTAGGCTTTTGAGATTAAGAACATGTCCCCCAGGAGTTCTATGACATCAGGTAGGTTGTTAGCATTTTTCAACGTCAGTGAAAAGAATAATTTCCCCTGATATTACCCACAGGCACCAGTTGCCACACACACTGCTCTTCAACTTTTAATGTGAATTCCTGCCTTCAGTCAGACACCTGACATCGCCTCCTCGAAGCTTCCTTCACCTGTGTCTCCTCAGAATTCTGGGGACACCATCTATTTTCTGTAACGGCCACCCCTCTTCTCTGACACCCCCTTCATACCACCCTGCCTTGTACTTCCCACAGCTGCTCTACTTTCTGTTCCTGTTCACCCCATTGGGTTTCCCACCCCACGTCCTTTACCCTTCCAAATTTCTACCACGGTAAGAACAACAGAAACTTCAAAATGGCAGTTTTCCTCTCTAATGTACTCCAGTTCTCAAGCGGGATCGGTTCCTGTAAGAAAAGAGCAGTATAAATACGTCTCTTCTTCCACCACCACCACCACCACTCCTGGCCCACACGAAACGCTCACGAGTTCTGGTTGGTTTTGTGTTTTTCCACTCTGGTTATAATACCCACCTGATGTGTAGGGCAGGGATGCCACTAGCAGGTGCTCAGGCAATGCTTATTCCTTTCTCTTCCTATCTCTTCCTATCACAAGCAAGTTAAGGCTTAGCAAGAGAACATCCACCGAGCTTTAGAGATTGTTAGGATTTCTAATCCCTGTGAGATAGAGGAATAGGGTAGAAATAGTTTATCACCACTACTGTTTAAGTCTAGGGTTTCCATACAGATCTTCATTCATAAGACAGATGGAAGGCTTAAACTTATTTTCTCATTGGCTGCCAACTTCACTTGATCAATAATATTCCCTTTGATCCATTTTTAATTAAAAAAATCCTATTGGCCCAGTATCTTGATTTATTGTGAGTCTGACAAATTAGGTGAGAAGTAAAGAATCCTTAGGGCCAGGAGTGGGTGAAGGATTGATGATTTGGCTTCCAGGTTTGACCCCTCCCTCGCCCCAGGTGCCCACAGCAAGGTCACCTGGAGGTCAAAGAAGACCATGCAGTGTCATAGACGGAGGAAGGGGCCTGATCTAGGAGATTTATGGGCACTCATTTTTTGTTACAGTCAAAAGACATGAAAATCTGCTTTTTGGGAAAGAGAAATAAAAACTATGGGAATGCTATATTCACTTGGGCATTTCAGTATTTAACTTGGGTTCCTGTGGCTATCCTTTGGCATGCTGTGTTTTGAAATCTGAGTAAGAGAGGTCCAGCTGCCCTTCACTTAAAGTAACACCCTGTCCGGGAAATAGCCATATATGCTCATCGCCCTTTCAGCAGCACCTTACATGGTTTACTGGATAAAAGAAGATTCTACCTCAGGACACAGAGGTTAAAGGATACTAAGTATATACAAAAACAGAGAGAAATTGGTTCAAGAACTACTGTGAAACTAAAATTGTACAAAGCTGCTCTTATACAATAGATTTTAAAATCGGGTTATTATTTTTGAGAACTCACTGTTGGGGGTAGACTGAGGGGTTCTCAGGACTCCCAAACCTGTATACTCTAAATGGGTTCTGCCGACTGGTGCATAAAAATAAAGCATACTCTGAGAGTGGAAGAACTTTAATAGAATAGTGTGCATAGAGAAAGAAGAGAAGGTAATAATTTCCCAATAAAATACCGTGAAAGTTATCCATCCCCTCCTGGGCAAATGCCCAGCCAAAAAGGGTTGGCCTAAAGCAAGACCACTGATGCCCAAAAGCTTGCCACCAGTCTAAGGCACCTTCTGGCAGGGAACCACAGGAAATGGGTTAAAGGGGCCAGCCAAGCCTGGAATGAAAGGAGCAAAATCAAACTATAAATCAAGTTAAAGGCTGCCATTGTCAGTCTTCCCATGTCTCTTGCAAGTTCCTCTACATGCCTTGACGCCACATGTCCCCAAAGTCCCTGGAGCAGTTCCAAAGGTGAGAAGCGAGCGGCCCTCCTGCTCCATGTGTCTCCTCCAAGCTTCCTCCTGCTCCCCTCCATGCTCAGTCCCACCCTTCATTAGGTGGAGCAGGGAACGTGGAACCTTCCCTTATTATGGAGATTCTCTGTAATCCTACTAGGTCCCAAACACTTTAATACCCACCGATATATTTAATTCTTTTAATAAACCTGTGTGGGAAGACTTACTGTCCTCATTGATGGTCAATGAACTGAGAGTCAAAAAGATTACATTTTTACAGAAAGTTTGCAGTATTCCTTGTCCCCTTGTTCTCCAGCCATGCTCAGCTAGAGGTCAAAGGAATCATGGGTTCAAATGTGGATTCAGGCATTCTGAGCCAAAAAAGCATGCAGGCAGCACTAGATGATTGTTAATGAAAAATAAGTAGGGAATTGGGCCTCTTCTGGAGGACCAGGCCCTCCGTGATGTGACACCTATCACACTCGGCACTGCTTTGCACCATTCACCTTCACATTTATTGTCTACTGACTGGACAAGGCCTATTTTCATTTGTGTTCACATCACTCCTCTTTTATGAAATTTCTTCTATATCTAGTTTCTCTGCAGAAATCTTTTTCTTCAAGTTCCAGCAGAAAATGTCCCTCTGGGACATGTACTATCACCTCCTTGATTATATTACTGGGTAGCGGGTCTAAAAATGTGTCACTGGGTCAGAACTTCTCTCATCAGTGCTGGGGCTGGCTGCACGCAATTGCAAATGCAAACAAAAAGGCCTTTGGTGCAGCAAAAAAAGAAAAAAAAGTTATTCTGACCAATAGGGCAGGGGCGTGGGAGAGCGAGCAAGGCAGAAGGTCCAGTCACAGACTGATGGCGCTCAGAGGAGCTGCAGCTACAGGAACCGGCAGGCTACGACTGACTGAAGCCTGCAGCTTCCGAGGCTTGGGGTCACCTGCCTTCAATGGGGTGGGAGGACCCCCCACCATGTGCAGGAGAGGTGGCTGGCTTGCCCAGCAACTCTGAGGAGAAAGAGGGTGCTCCTGTGCTTTGCTCCCTCTTCAGGGTTCCTAAAATGGCCACTGGGCCCCACCCCCTTCCCAGCAGCCCCCCAAACTAAGAAAGTCTGGGGCAGAGTGCAGAGGAGGCACCCCTCAGGCATTGCCCCTTCCAGCCTGAGTGGGTCTTTTGGGGAGGAGTGTAGTGTTTGGCCCCTTGTCTGCAGGCTGCCCAATAATTAGAAGAGGTCTTTGCCCTGCTTAACCCTCAGAATGTTCACTGTTTTACTTATTATGAACTTCAGTGATTCTGCCTCAGATTGCAAAGGTATTAATTCTTCCCACTGCATGATCATCTCAGGAAGAACAGGGACCAGCCTGTTTTATTTCATATTTGTCCTCGTTAGCACCAACACTGTGCTTTATATAAAACAGATCCTCAAAAAATATAATGGTTGGAGATGGTCCTAAACCAGAGTCAGAGAGAGGAAATGTGTCAAGACGTGACAAATGTATTTATTACACAACTCATTTCTTCACCAAGGACCAATGTCAATAATCAGTCAGTGCACCTTTTCTCACCAAGTGCAAACAAAATCTGAAAAGCCTTCCCAACATGAGTTCTTTGCAAATGGTTTGAATCCACCGGAGCTTCCATTCTATTGAAATCAATGTTATCATCCTGAATTAAAGATATAACCTGAATTTGCCTTTACCCTAATTCTCTGCTGATTCAACGGCTCTTCATCTGTCAAAATCTCAGTTGATTCAGAAAATGGAATATATGTTTAAAGATTAGAGTGTCATTACACGTTTCTGAAAAAAAAAAGCTACTTTGCTGCTCATAAGTGTCTCTGTTTCATTATTAGACTCAAAATTTTTAAAAAGGAAAGATCAGTTCTAGTTGTTAGAGCCTCACCCTTAATAGTAGAGAGTTTGCCTGAGTCATTCTTTCCCACAAACATCTGCCCATATGATCTAGAATTTTGGAAACAAATATCAGAGTGTTTATTTCCTAAAATAGGTTAAAAAGATCCTGAGTGATGTTGCATTCAACAACACAGTTGTGTTTTCAGTAAACAGACTCCTCTTTTAAAAAGAATTGGTCTGTTAATTAGCCAAATGAAGTATGGGTCACTGGAAGTGCTTTATGCCTTGCTCATTTCTGGAAATGAGGTTGAAACCACGATGAACTGG